ATTCAGAAAAATGTTTACTAGAAAATAGGTTGCAACTTGTGGCTTAAAAGGCATTTGATTCCAAGTGTACCAAGGTGTAGGAGGGTAATGCACCCCTGCACCATCCTGTTCCATCTCCCCATTTTTAAGTGTACTTCAGGAATTTTTAAGCATCCTTATTTTATAAACCTTAATTTATAATCTGAACAGATTAAGTAAGACTTTTTCCCTTTACAGTGCTATTGTCTCCAAAATGATAGTAGCAAATGATGTGAATGGAATAAGCAGGCAGTGCAGGTTTGAGAGTGGCTTGCTAATGTCTGAGAATTTAAGCTCGACCGCTGTGTATCTGCTAGTGCAACCTTGATTCAAGAGTTTGTTCTTCCATTTTTTTGAAGGATCTTTGCTTTTGGGCTTGTAATTGCTTTGCCAGCTCTTTGAATGTAGTTTTTTTTATATTTATTTGCACATTCAAGTAAAATAAAATATTGATTTTAAAAGTCCGCAGCTGTCACTGGTTTAAATTAGTTTTAAATTAATTTAAACTTTCTGACAATCCCCAGAATTTATTTTCTTGTACCTGAAATTGAATTTTAAATGGTAGAAAAATGCAATTGAAGTGTTGGATGAATTTCTCTTCAAGCAGTTTTGCAAGGCAGGCTCCAGGATGTACTGATTTAATGGGTGCAGACTCATTTCCAGTGGGCCAGAGATCTTTAACCCACCTACTAACAAGAAGTCAGTGCACAGTAAGCAGGTGTAAGCTATAGTAAAAGGGGAGTAAGTTTCCTGCAAGTGATGTGCAAGAGGAGATCCCACGCAGGACGATGATACCGGTGTCTCTGAACTCCGTGTGTGCTGCCAACACCTCTCTGGGAGCAAAGGGCCACGGCTGGACGCGAGCACGGGAGTCCATGGGGTGGCACAGTTGCTCCACACAGAGAGAGGTTTGAAAAGAAAATCTTGTGTAGTGTCAGCAAAACTCTTTTTTTTTTTTCCAGATTGGTTTATTTCTAACAGCATCTTTGCCATGAGAGGTGTGGTACAAAAAAAATATGGTCCAGGCCTGGCCCCTGAGTACTTGCACGCTAAATACAACAGCCATTTAAGAAAAGTGACTGATTCCAGTGCTGAAATCTATAAGCACATCTGCTACAGGTTAAGACAATACAACTGCAACCATGAAAATAACCCTCCACCCGCCTTTCCCTCAACCTCCCCAAATTCCTGGGTAATAACATGTTGAACTGTGTTCCCTGTGAGCTCTGCACAACAAATTGAATGTGGAGATTTTGCAAATTAAGCTGTAGTGATGTGACCCAGATCTGATAGGAGTTTCCTTTACATCATTCTCAACACTTCCGTTGCCATAACAAAAGGCAACTCTGCTTTCTGCGCAGCATAGTCCTTGCTCACAGGGAAACAAACTGTTGTTCTCCTAATAACAAGCCTCTGATGCATAAATTGCATGGAATAATTTGATTAAAATGATGGTAGTGGCGTCTCAGAGGACGCAGTCCACTTTATACAAGTCTTCTCGCAGAGATCTTGGACTTGTCACAAAGAGGACATTCCCTTTGCTGGAGGGGAGGGACAGGCAGATCTGACATCACTCACGAGCAGTTGGAGATCTCAGCGAGTGGACAGCTTTGGCAACCACAAAGACAGCCAGCTTAAAAAATCTGTCATGTTTGCAGGATGGAATAAGAATTAATAGTTTTCTAAATTAAATTAAGAATTGTTTAAAGGGAGTACCTGAATTCAGTATTTAATATTTCAGAAGGTTTGGGGTTTTTTTTTTACCTGTTTCCATATCACAGTGATGCACAGAGAGAAAGATGGGGCTGTGAACCAGCGAGAAGTATGTGTGCAAACATGAGTTTTTCTTCATGCTTTAGCCATTCCTCTGGATTAGAACTAAGTAACAAAACCTTAATGAAGCTAGAGGTACGTTCTACCTTCCACTCATCGAAATTAAAGACTAAATTTAAAGTCTAGCAATTCTAAACTATACCCGTGCTACAGGATGAATCTAAAAAATAATCTGAGACCCAGTGCTGAAAAGGGATGACGTCTGTATCAGGCAGGGTAGCTCCTACCCCAGTGTCATTACCTTGCTGAGCAAGGACCAAAGAAGCTATTCCAGAACATCTAGTGAGTTGTAGTGATGGTAATAAACTTAAAATATTCCTGAAAACTGGCTTCATGTGGACTTCCTACACTCTGAAGTGAAAACTGCAAGCAAGCAGAAGAGAAGTTCTGAAAAAACCCAAGAAGTATTACACCAGTGTCAGCCTTACAAACCATGAGAAGAATGTGAGCACAAAAGGGAAAGATTGGGTGGGATCCCAGTGAAACAAGCAGGAGAGAGGCAGGGAGATTCCCTGGAGCTGTGGAGAGTCTCAGGGTGAGGTTAAGAGACCTGACGAAGCGAGAGGAAGGGGAGCTGGTGTGATGGCACAGTCCGGAAGAGTCCTCAAGGCACGAAGTCATCTTGTACGTGCCAGCGCCTGCAAAGACAAATCTGGGGTGGGGGGATCCTGGTCCAAAGGACCATCGTTTCAATAGTCAGTGGAAGTTTCTGTGCCTCGTGGTTCTGAGAAGGCTTGGGTGCTTGAATGCTGGGAAAGGCAGGGCCAGCACTGCATTCATGGAAAATGTGAGGCTGTGCTGACACTGGTGGAAATGCTTCGTGCTACTGGTGTTAAGGCAGAGCTGCTGCCTCCGTGGTCAGCTGCCTCTGCACTGCAAATGCCAGCTCAGCCTGGGGCAGGTAGTAACTGCACCAAGATGTTGGTCTTCACACCTGCTGACTTGCAGCTGAAGAGCCCTCTGAAGCTGCTGGAACAGAGCAGAAATAGCAAGCCCCATTATTTGCCAACTAAAGTTTGCTCTTTAGCCTTAAAGATGTATGGGACAGGCCAGGTGGTGTTTGTACCCTCCCTCTGAGCTTTAAAATCCCCAGCCTGTTTTCCAGCATTACATCTTTTGGATTCAGAGCCATGGAATAAAAGAGTGCCTTCTCCCAGGAGATGATCTATTGCACAATTAATTACTTTAGAACCAAATTGTTACCCCCACAGAGCAGGGATCACACGACTTAAAGAGATGTTAACAAGCCATGACAAACCTCTGGCATGAGAATTTTCAAGCAAGCTGTTCTGCATCTAAAGCACTCATAAAGATCACACAGCATCTGAAAAATGAAGGATACAGCAATGAGTAACCTCTCTCTGCTCCACTCCAGAGACCTGGCCGTAGGAAGCAGCGCTGCGATTTACACACTATCTGAACCTGATTATGTCTAATTTTTTGCATACAGAGCATGGAAAGGATCCTGGTTGAGGCATGGAAAATATGTGGCCGCATGAGTCATTCTGTAATGGTTCATAAATCCTGAGAGAATCACAAAAGCAAAACATGTAACATTGCATCTTCCCTGTCCCTGCCAGTGGAACTCCACCTCTCGGCACAAGGATGTGGGAATATGGTGAAAGCAAAGGAAATAGGATCATTTTCTCCTTGGAATAGAAGAATCTCATCAAACAGCAGCCAGGCCTAGATTTGCAACCTTCACAGAAGAGACCATTCATAAGCTGAGGAGAAAGAAATGAACTAACTCCTCAGGTTGCCAAACCAAATTTACAGTTCCTACTGCCCGGACTCCAGCTTCTGTCTTTACTCCTTTGCAGAGCCAGGCAAAGGACTGGAGAGCAGAAGCCTGAAAACCAGCAACCTCTCAAGCTATGACCTCCCACCCCACTGGCCTACCCACTCGATGAGCAATGGGAGGTGGTCACGCTGGGGCACTTACACAGGTGATGGGAGAGGATTTGGTGCAAGATTACCCAGCAATGCTGTGCGAGGCAGAGCATGGAAGGGACTTACACCCTCAAGGAGTTAGAGAAGGGGGAACCAAGCAGCAAAGGTTCAGGTAACACCTCCAAGTCCCTCGGACAACATTAGGTGAGTTGTCTTGTCCACACAACCTACAGGTACATGGCAGCAGCATCTCACTGCTCCAGGCTGTTGGCTAACACAGCACTATCAACCCTCTTGGGGGTTTGCTGGGTGGAGATTGCACATCTCTAGAAAAACACAGCTCTTCTTGGGCAAGAATGACTTGAAATTCACCATTATCTGCCCAACAGCAGAGTCTTCCTGTGCACCCGGGTCAGGCCCCTTTCCTGCTGGATGGAGCTGCTCTCCTGGTTCCGGGTAGTTTATCAGCGGAAGCACAGTGGCTGGGAGACCTTCCCACTTATCGTTGGTATGTTCTGGCTCTCCAGGCTGGGGCTGGTGCTGATTCTTTCACATGCAAATAGCTCTGACCTCCAGGACTTTTAATCAACCTCTGCAGTGAGATCAAGAAGGGGCAGGAGCTTCTCTCCTGTTTAGCCAGGGAGCAAGAGCAGAAATAAAGAAACAAGAGAACTCTGAAAGGCCCAGCCTGATCCCAGGGCTGCAAAGCAGACACTAAAAACCCATAACTGCCACAATATGAGGCTGCAAGAGCCCTGTGTAAGCCCTGAGAGCTGGGGAGGTTCCTCTGGATCTGCAGCTCTCCTGCACTTCATTTATGATTCTGTGAGGGGATGATATCTTCTCAATTTGCACCATCAGAAAGCATTTAGAATCAGGAGATGGGGAAAGACCTTGAATCCCACACAGAACCACTTGGGTCTCTCTTGAGTGGAAGGATGCTTGACATAGGAGGTCAGAAGTTCAGTTTACACTCTAAACCAAATTCAGACTACATCAAATCTGACCACATTTGTTATTTCCAGGAATATTTTGGAGGAGGAAGGAGGCCCAAATGAGTCACTCGAGCCATCATCTAGCTCTGACGATGAAGCACAGCCCCAATATACTGTGGATCTGGATATGCTCCTCCCAGTCCCACGTCTGACACTGGAGAGAAGTCTCTGCTTGGGCAACTGATGTCGTGACAGCCCCCCATACGCCTCATCCCTCATGGGATAAGCCTGGTGCTTCCGTGAGTTAAGGACTAAGAGAAGGAAATGCGTAAGCAGGGTCACTAAAACTGCCTTTCCCACACAGCTCTGAGCGCAGGAGCACACGACTGGATCTGCCACCGGGATGGAGACCCTCGGGAGCGGTCGGCTGTCGCACAGGCTCGTGCTGTGCTGTGCCTTTTGGGGACTCTGCCTGGCCTCTCCGGACTACGATGGTGAGTGTGTGTCTTTGGGTGAAAAATTGCTGCTTCTTAAAGTACTGGATACTTGGTACCTTTGTAAGATCCCTGAAAACTCATCTTTTAAAGCAATCGCATGGGAGGACACTCTAACTGAGCCTCATGCACACTCTAGTTGAACAGGGAGGTGACAGAGAGGAGAAAGAAACTGGGGTGGAAGAAACTAGAAAGAAAAATTAGAGGAGAAGTATAAGAGAGAGAACTTGAAATCAAAACCTTTAGCTAAAAGTTAGACTCCCACAGCCACGACTTGACCCTGGAGTGGCCTCAGGATTCTTTTGAAAGCCAGGCAGAGGAATTGCCTCTGGTTCCCCAGGCCTGCTGATAACTGTACAACAAAGCAGTTACTAAGCTGTGGGAAATCATACAACAGAGGAATCATATAAATTTTCAATAAGGTTACTCCTGCACACCTCATTCTGTTAGCCAGCTTTTTCTGCCCATCACACAACAGCATTTTACAGAATACTCTCACTTTTAGGGACCCCAACGTAAAATACAAACCCAGAGCCTTTGGGGTAAGCGTCGGGTATGAGTCTGCTCTGCAAAGTACAAGGGTAACTGCACAAACAGCAAGTAACAGACTGTGTTTATCTGACAGATTACTCTCAGAACAGCACCAATGAGCAGGTAACCACACCAGAGATCACGCCGTGTCCCCGAGCCATCCCTGGGGAAAAGGCAACCATCAACAACGTCACGTACCTGTTGATACACGAGGCCACGCGCTCTCAGCTGGGCAGCGTGGTCACCGTGCGGCTCATCCCCTGCCTCTACACCCTCGTCTTCCTGGTGGGGCTGCCTTCAAACGGGCTGGCCCTGTGGGTCCTGGTGACCAGGGCTGAGAAGCTGACCTCCACTGTCTTTCTGATGAACTTGGCTGCTGCAGACCTGCTGCTTATATTGGTGCTGCCCTTCAAGATTTTCTACTATTTCCTGGGGAACAACTGGCCCTTCGGGGAAGGGCTGTGCCGGCTCACCACAGCCTTCTTCTACGGGAACATGTACTGCTCAGTGCTGCTGCTCACGTGCATCAGTGTTGACCGGTACCTGGCTGTGGTGCATCCTTTCTTTTCACGTTCTTTCCGCACCCCTGCCTTTGCCGCCTTCACCTGCACCGCCATCTGGCTCTGTGCTGCCATCCTCACCCTGCCCCTGACTCTGCAGCAGCAGTCGTATCCCCTGTATGGAGCAGACATCACTCTCTGCCACGATGTTCTCCCCAGGCACGAGGATGACGGGTATTATTTCTACTACTTCATCTGCCTGATCGCCTGTGCTTTCCTCACTCCTCTGCTGGTGATGCTGTTCAGCTACTGCTCTGTTCTGCGAACCCTCCTGGACAGTGGGAAGCGGTACTCCTACTCTATGAAGCTCACAGCTCTCGTGCTGTTCACACTTGTGGCCTTCTACACACCCAGCAATGTTCTCCTCCTTGTTCATTACTCCAGCTATAACTCCAAGGTGTATGGCAACCTGTACATCAGCTACATGGTGAGCCTGGCCATCAGTACCTTTAACAGCTGCGCTGATCCCTTTGTCTACTACTATGTTTCGGAAGACTTCCGGGATAAGGTGAGAAGGAGGTTCTTCAGGCACAGAAAACAAAACACCACATCCTTAAAAACCTCCAAGGAAACACTCCCTCAAAAAAGTTCTAAAGATTCACTGGTGTAAGCTTCCATCCCAGCTCCCTGCTCCTAAGGCACTTGCAACTTACAGCGGGGATGAGATGAAGGCAACATGGGGAGATCCCACAAGTTTCATCCACAGCAGGTAGCAATATTTCCCTGGAGACAAGTCCTTTCTCCTGTCTGCGTAGCTAAAACTGAACAAACCTGGACCACAGGATTCCTTGAGAGGTGTGGAGTCCAGGCAGGATGTGGAGTGCTGAACATGCATAGATCTGTCACTGGGACACTGAATACAACTTCTCATCTGGTGACATACTGCCAGGGATGTTCTTGCCAATACCCCTACGTCTGGATTTCCTAATGCATCTTGCAGACTGATGGCTATTTGTGTTCTATTTCTTTCTCTGCTACTGACTTGCTTGTTGTCCTTGAACAAATATTCCCTTCACCTAAAACTGAAAAAGAACAGGCACTTACAAAACCAAATTTCTAAACATTTCAAAAGTACTAGGAGGTACCAATGTGAAATTAACCTCCTGAACTAAAATACTCTGTTAAGAGAATGTAGAACACTGTTTTTTCTAGCAAATACATTCTTGGCTTGATTAGAAAGCAACACCATAGTAATGTCAGCCCACGTTTGGTAACAAGTGTAAAAATCTGGTTCACTCACTCATCCCTATTTTTGCAAATGACCCTTGGGGTCTATAATTTCTTTGGGACAACAACTGTATTAATGGATTTTTTTGGAAATATTATGTCTCTTGAAGGGAAATATTAAAGAAGGAATTGAGAAAACCCTCAGTCTAGAACTCCACACTTCTTTTGTGTAATGCTACACACAATCAGGAGGTGTCTCTCATGAAACAGGTGACCAAGCTTGTTGCTTATTGGAACCTGTGGCAAATTTGACCAAACGGAGCCACCTCCTGTCTCAGACACAACACGGGCATATCTCAGTAAGCAGCAAGGTAGAAAATGAGCAATAAACCTCCTTAGAGTTCCTGAATTCTTTAGTTTTCCTGGTACAGACATGACTTCTGTCCTCATTATAACCTATGATCAAACAAACTTACAGCCTACAATGTGAATAAGAAGAGGCAGACAAGATTGTCTTAAAATCAGTTTTTAATAAAATATTTATCAGAATCTAAAACAAACCCTTTTCTGGACTCAGACTTGCTAAGATTTGTGTGAACAAAATGAAAACAGTCACAGAACTGTTTGTGTGTAACATGTATGTGCGGGGGAGAAACGCAGGTGAAAAACTAGAGCCTATCTCCTACGTGCCAAGGATGTGCCAACTACTGAGCACAGGAGACCTGGTCTAGCCAGGGCTACTGCCACTCAGAAATAGCAAGTACTAAACAAAACCCAAACTGAGCTGAGGTTTTCTAAATAGATTATCTATTCACAATAATGAAAACCAGGTTATTGAGCATTAAATGTCGATAGTTGACATCAGCAAAGCAAGTGCTCTTGTTGCCAATGATCTTCAAGCAAGCTGAACATTCTTCTGGTATTTGTTTTCTACTGATGCTGATTAAGAAGGAGGGAAAGAGGCAAGACCAAAACACTTGGACAAGATAGAACAAGGGAACTATTGCTTTAAAATAAATACCATGGTAATGATTACTCTGCATAATGTACAGTTACAAATATATAAATATTAATTTCATTGAAAGGATTGCAAGCAAAAAAAAAATCACTGATAACTAGCACTGCTGCAGCTATTCAGTAACTTGATGTAAGTAGGAATCTCTGTGTCTTACAAACCCACTGGCACTTTTCTCCTTTTGCAATGGGGGACCATCAGAAAAAGGAAAGGAGAAGCATCTCTCTGAGGGAGGGAGGCAAAACATCTCAAAACCAGAAACAATTCAAAGCCCAGAGCAGCAGCAGGTCTGCCACCCCTGCTGGCTTTCCACCACTGAGTTGACCTCTTCCTTGGTGGAAAAAAAAAATCAATTTCTTCACAAAGTTGGAGTTGGAATTTCCAGTGCTGAGATGTCCTTGTGTTCTCAGGGATAGGAGTGTGACTGATAAGCTTCAGAGTCAGAACTGGGCCAAAGCCTTTGAATAACATTGAGTCTGATAGGCTACGTTGTGTCCAGTGGTTCTCATGGACCTAGTCCTAAAGTTGCTGTATTCCAAGTAGGATTTTGAAGAATAGGGGAAAAATAATCTAGGAAAATTTTCTTCCTAGATAAGAATTAATGATGATTACAAGAAACATGAACAACAAATCTGGGACAGGGGGAAGCTATGGACAGAGAGAACACCAGCTGAGGTGAAGAGGGCAGAGACCTGCTCCTTTACTCCTGTGATAGGGGAGAAAAGGCAACCACAGCTGTGTAGTTTCAGGTTCCTTTATTCAATTCCTTTAAACAAATTACTTTTTATAAACTACAGAAAGGAGCTAGTTTGGTGTGGCAAGACTAAGAGGAGGCAGAGGCTGCCAAGAGCGGATGGACTAGTGATTTTTCTGAAAGTGCCAAAGCTGTGAAGAAGCACTCAAAGTGAAGTCAGGCTCCAGAAACCCTGGCACATCACCTCACACACACTGTCCTGTTCTAACTGTCCCTGTTTTAAGGACGCTAAGGTTGCTCTGCCTTTGCCTCCTGAGGGTCTGGGTCTCTCTGGCTTCTCGTTGTAAAACAGAAGCAAGACTCCTCTGCCTCAAACAGGTGAGTGCACTGGCACAGAGACCCCACAGAACAAGGCCATGATTGATGGGCTGGCACCACCAGGAGGAATTATTTAGCTGGCAGCAACTGGGAGATGGCTGCATCTTGAATTAGTACATGTACCAGAGCCTGAGGAAAGTGAAGAAAGTCAGGTTTAAGACTTGGTTGAAACTCCCTACCTTCATCTCCTTGTCCCCAGTGGTGATGCTAGCTGACTGCCCAAGGATCTATGAGAGGACCAAGCAATATAAAATGACATCAAATATCTATCCAGAAGCATACAATGGATGAGACAAGGAAACCAAAACCAGAGGACTGAAGAGTCTAGAACATAGGTCCTATCTTCTGTGGGAAGCTAGTCACATAGACATTATCAGGGTGACTAAATGTCTCAATCTCCCAGACCCAAAGTATTAAACACAGCTGAGGCTGGAACCAGCAAACAGTGGGGTTTGTATTGTGCAGCTTTGATATTTAGAAAAGAAAAAAAACCCCTCTTGTTGCAGCTCACACTAGGTCTGTTATTTACCCAGGGGATAAATATTGACTCAGTCCTGTGTGTGTACACAATAGCCAGTGTCTGCCAGGCCAGTTGCTTACGGGAGATGGAATTTAGTTTAAAGGCATTTATTTACCTGCCAGACAGGAATGCAGCCGCCAGTGCTTCCGCTGTGCTGTGCGGACACAGTGAGGACATGGTCTGTTCATGCACACTGAAGAGACGTGGCAAAAACCTCTGCTGAGAAGCAGTGGGTACATATGGGCAGCAGCCACGTCAAGATCCTGTGAGGAGAGCTCAGAGCAGCCACGAAGGAAGGCTTGGAAACACACCAACAAAACAGTTCTGAAATTTCTGGGAACTTCAAGACCCAGAACTTCATCATGTCAACTACATTCTACAAATACCTGGCCCCAGACAAAAAGGACTGGAAACTGCATATGCCCAATTTCTGGGATACCTCCTGTTTTGTCCCCATGTGGACATTTTTCTGGAATAAAATTGCCTTTATTCAGGAATGGAATGTCTATACTGGGATATATTCTTGTCATGGCTCCTGCGTAAACAAGCCCTAAAAATGAATGGAGCTGGGCTTTTTCCTGTTTCCATTCACCAATAAACATCCTCAAAAGGAGTTTCCAGCCCACTCTGGGTCCGGGTAACAATAGAAGTGGGAAGATAAAACATTAACACTATTTTGCAACAAGCAATTGCATGTAACTCCTCCAAAGAGAACAATGCTGCTCCAGGCAGGAAGGGAAACCAAAAAATCTTGGCTCCTGCACTTTTGGAAACACAAAGCTTTTGTTTTTAGTTTTACCACATTGCTTGGGGCAGGTCAGTCTAAGGGAGTCCAGCCTCTGGGACACCAGTACTGGCCAGCAGACCCAGGGTTAATGCATAGATTACCATATCCCAAACAACCATTGGATGGGGATCCCAGTGGGAACAGAATAAAAGCAACTGGTGAAGGCAGGCAAGCATTTAAAAGGAGTGTGCCTTGGGTCAGCTTTATTTTCATGCCCGGGTTACAAGGAGGAAAGGGACTGAGAAGGCTGCAAGCAGCCCTTATCAGCACATAGTGCAAACTGAAGAGGGCTCACCCACCTAATCCTTGTCACTGCTATGGTTGGCTCCCCACCTGAAGCCTGCAGCTGCATGGTGGACAGTCAAGCCCTTCAGCCCTGACATTGAATTTAGTTTTCTCTTGTAAAATGGACCAACAACTTCCCTGAACATGGAGCCACTAGGGAAGTTTTTCCTCTTATGGGACATTGTTGTGGGTGCATTAGAATTATGGGCTGGGGAAGATGATTAGCCTCTTGCTATGTCATCATTAGCAAAACACACTAATTTTTATTATTATAACTTGAGAGAAAACTTCTCAGCCATCTTTCCTCAAACAGCAGTTTAGCTAAGCACAAGGCCTGGACTTAGCTTCTAAATGTAGCTAGGAAATGGCATTTGCAGTATCCTGATAGTAGAGAAAACACTTTGAAATGGTCTATAGGTTTGAATTCCAGCCCCTATTTTTCTCACCTAGAGGGCACAGCACATTGGTCTCCCATCCTGGGAAGTACTCCAAAGAGGATGTACAAAAGGCAGGAAAACTGACAAAAAAAATAATGCTGAGTGTCCCCCTTAGTGCTCCAGATCCCTCCCCATGGGGCAGCAAAGCCTACAGTTCTGAGTGCATCAGGAAGTAGTCATCGTTCAGTTTCTGTTCTGCAGCAGGTCGTCTGTAGGAACAAACTCATACAGGAGTTGATTCTGAGCCTCTTCTTATTTAAATTATATATTTCTGTTGAAAAGAGAACAAAATGAAGAAAAGTCACTTTCCCAGTACATATCTTTGTG